CACTCTATTCCATATACCTTTTGCTTGTGCTTCTCCTACACTACGGATGCCCTAGTTTATGTACAGTCCGTGTGATGTCAGAAATGCTTACCCCTCTTTCCGACTCAAGGCATACAAAAGCAGGGGGTAAACTTACCCCCCAGATTTGCCGATCACGCATCTTCGTGCCTGCCAACGAGTGCGCCCGTGTTGTTCCAATGTACCCTTCCCAGTCGGCGATGTCACATTTACATTCTTTAGCGCGAAGTGTGTACGTAGCAACCTTTCTCCCAAAACATGTAATCACTACATGCTTTGCCGACTATGTAACTAGTACATCCGGTGCGATTCGGCTAGCTTTCGACCTCCTCCCCCTGGCCTCAAGTTTCCTGTGTTTTGCGCTCGAACTTACCGACTTGGAAGTGAGAAACCTCCGGTTGGAGGAAAGGTGCATCCATCTACTGCATCTACAGTATTTGTCCGTGCATGTCGGCCCAAATATTTTTCCAGTGGAAGCTGCACACCTCTCAAGACAGTTGGGTGGGTTCAGGAAATGCTTGGAACACACAGCTGTTCAACTTCATGGGATGCTACTGGTGGCAGTCTGCAGTCACCGCGACAACGCTCATTACTCGACCCAGAAGCATATTGACATTGGCTTCTGTACTGAGCTAAAAATTAGCAAAAAAAATCTGGTGTGATAAACACAGGTGCGGTGTGAGTGCCAAAGAAGTAATTGTAATGCTTATTCACATTGCGCATGCTACTAATTCACATTGCATATATAGCTGATAAAAGCTTGTGGATCCGTGCCATGGCATTCCGGGCCCTTCGTGCTTGGTTTGGGCAGCCAAGCTTTTGGGTGTCCCAGCGATTTGGCCCTGTGTGCAGACGTGTCTGTGGCTGCACCCCTCGGGTTCAAGAGATGCCCTTGAAAAGCCATGACTTTTGAGAAGCAGCCATGGATTAGGCAGTGTTCGTCATTGTTACTGTAAATTAATGATTGTTTTTTTGGCAGTGTGCCCCTTAAGAATTCTTAAGAGGCAGTGTGGCATTGCGCGCCGCACGAGACTTTTCCAATGATCGGCTGGAGACTTCCGTTCCTGACAGTTCCAGAGAGATTCTGTTCGAAGACGTTTTGGAAGCTGGCAATGACATTGACTGGGAACAGGAACCGCAGCTAGCAGAGAGGAAAGGGCCAGCAGTGGAAACAAAACCTGCTCCACTGACTGATAAAGAGCTGGAAGATGCCAACATTCTCACATTGGAAAAGGATGAGTTTGTTTGGGCAATTGGTCGGGCTGCCACTTTGGGGTTGGCCCCTTCAGCACGAATATGGCGAGACCTGCCACATGCTATTCATGCCTTTGGTGGCCCTTTGGAATTCTCGCCCTCAGAGGTGTGTCGCTTGCTCCAGGCTTTAGCTTATGCACCCGCTGATGCCCCAGTCGAGAAGAAGTTGCTACAAAGGCTCTTTAAAGTGTTCGCTTTGCGGGCCAAGGAGTTTTCAGATGAGAGGTTGATGCGTATCATGTATGCCTATGGGAAGCTTTCCTCCAAACGAGGGCTATACTTGCCCCGTTTCATGGATTTTGCCACCAGTGAAGTCGTGGAGCGAGGAACATCCTTGAGGTCTTGGAGGCAGGTGAGGATATTGGAATCTGTTGGTTCCCTTCCAGAAGCTGGGCCAGAGTTCAAGACTTTGCATCTTGCAAGCCTTGCTGCCAAGAGATTTTTATAGGTTATCCATGGTTTTCCCTAAAGTCATTGCAGCAATTGAGTGGTTGGCGCAGAGGCGCATGCCCATGAGCACAGGCGATAGGGACGCGGGGCCGGTTGTAAACCTACCAATTTGGTGGGTTGCACCACGCCGAACTGCAACTGACCCTGTTTGTGCGTACAGCTGACCACCCCACCAATATACCAGAGTACCATTTACATTTGGCATAAGCGTTGCTTCACTCAGCATCGACCACACCGCATTTGTTTTTTGGGAAGCTTCCTCACATGCCTTATCCTCCAAGGCTTGTGTCCCAAGTCATGAAACTGGGAACTCAACAGCTTGATGCCGAGTGCTTCGCCAAGTTTGTGAATATGGTGGTGGACACCAAATACCACGAACGGCCTGGAGCCATCGACCGGCTGAATGCGGTGTACCGGCGCAAGTTGAAGCACACTCGCTTCAGCAATCCTGTTGCTTGGAGGGAGTGTTCTCACCGAACAACTTTTAGCATGTGAATTTTGTTGGCCGTGTTTGATAGACGTGTTTTTTACATTGGGGCAGAAGTTCAAAGTTTTCTTGTCAATGCTTAGACCACGCTGTGGCCGCACTACTCTATGTAAAGAGATTTTTCCGTGGCTGACCATAGCATCTCATAGTCAGGAGTTGATTCTGACTTCGGGGATGCCAATGTTCCTCTTTGATTTGATGAAGACTTCAGTCCTCACCCGTTGGTTGGATCGCATCTCCCGCCTGCATTTGCCACTCGAAGCAGGTGCCGTTGTTCGGACCGGCTTGGTCTTCGTGTCCGGGGCACATGATCGGGATTGGCTACAGCCGGCTGATGCAGCAACTGCTTTTCCAAAATTCAAGAGGTTGTGTTTTGTAGTTTTGTTCGTGCTTTCCACCTGCCTTTGACATCAATTGATCGCATTATGATATTATGCCAAAATTTTGATTTGCCAGGCAAGAGCCTCCAAGAATTTGGAGTGTTTGAAATTGGTCGACCTTGTGTTGCGCCATGAGCGCCCTAGTAGTTTGGAAGCATTGACAGCAGAAGGGCTGCAACTGTTGGCAAGAGCGCGTGCTACAACCCTGCAACCTCCTGATGAGCATGAAGCTCAGCTGTGTACACTTGGCAATTGATCTTGAAGAGAAGCAGTTGTAGATCTTGGCTCTGTGGGCACCATGCACCGCAAGCTTATGTATATATATATTTATGTCCAGTAGCCAGTAACTCTTGGCTTGTTGGATCATGTTTGTTATTGTTTGTTCTTATTGGTGCATGTCCAACATGGGTAGATATCGAGAGGTTCAGTCACCGCACGCAGAGCCGAATTCCCGTAAAGCCGTATCATGAGAGACTGTAATTGGTTCGGAGTAGGGGTATTATTGAGAGTCAGATGTTTTTTTACTTCGGCCCTGGCCAGACAAGGACATGCCAGAGCTTCCACATGTTTATGCAGGTCTCTCAAAGCTTTTTCGACAGCTTGGAGTTTTGTTGCATCCCACAACTTGTGGCCCATACCTGCTGGAGATCGCAGATCCACTTGGACACCTTGTAGTTGAATGGGATACGAGTTGGAAGCTATACCCTCCCTGGCGGCAAGAGAGGCATCGAGAGTTTGTCCAGCGGAAGCACTTCCATCTTCGGGCCGAGGGCTGGAAACTGTTGCAGATATCGCTGGAAACTTACACTGCATTCACTGAAGAGGAGAAGCTTCATTTCCTGGACCAGTTCTGCAACGAGCAAGGCCTAAACCACTTGCGTGTGGGCCAGCTGCCTGAAACAATGGAGAAACGGGCGCCCTCAGTGAACCAAGACCATCGGTACCCTTAGCACATGTTCCAGCATTTTGCTAGAAGCTCTCACTCTCAGTGTGGTCTGGCAACAAATAGCAATCCGTTGAAAGGTCTTTTGCCCGCACTGGAGCTGAACGTTGCGCTGTTGCACTGCTCAGGATTCGGTCCACCCGATGTGAAGATCAATCCAATGCACCGACCAGAGTCGCAGCTTCTGAGAAGCCCCCCGGCCCAACAAGGCAGCAATTTAGGTGGCAAACATATATCATATATACAGCAATACTTGCAGATAGTCGCATAAGATTCTGAGTCAATCTGTTGGCAGCGTGACTGAGGACGCCATTGCTGGCCACTTGACTGCAAGCGACCATATGATCCAAACTAACTATTTATACAGAGAGAGTGAACTGCCCACTACCTCTCAGGCAAAAGCTGCTGAGAATCGTTCCATTGCTGCACTCAGTTGTTCCACATTGCTTAGGTTGAAAGAGAGCTGTGACTCCTAGTGATATTTAAGAGCTCCCATGGTCTAGCAAGGAGTGCCATCAATGGACAATATGCGGGCAGTCATGAGATTCTCAGCGCGTGGCTACAACTATCACCTGCCCAGCAACAACACAACCATGCTGGTGGGGTTGTCATCAAGACCTGTATATATGCTGCAATCCTGACAATACTGCATTCAACGTTTGGATTTAGTTGGTATGAGCTGAGTTGGGTTGCTTTGTTGCTGCTTTTCACCTATGTCCATTGACCATACAGAACCTGTGCAGCCAGGCCTCTATTTGGCAACTGATCGTTTATTGGTTGCGGCTCATGCAGGTTTTGCTGCCCCTGTGTCTTGGTTGCAGGCTGACCAGTACAACTTAAAGTTTAAAGCCTTTTGGAGTTTCGTAACTTGCTTGGAGGTTCTTCTTCATTGTGAACAAGCCTTGCCCAGCAGATGGCCATCCTAAGTCATGAGCTCGCAAGTGGATATGTAGCTTCAGCTCATGGTCGAACGCGGAGGGATGGCTCCAAAAATGGAATCTGTCGATTTCGATGATGAAACTGTGGCGTATTCAGTGTTGCGTTTGCACTGCTCTTTGCGGAGCGGTAGTCTTTGCCTTTGAGACTTAGAGCTGATTAAGAGCTAGGCATCCCACCCAGAGTCAATTTTTGATCTTTGATCATGGCAAACAGCTGCATACGCAAAAAACGTGTGAGAACATCTCTTCCACCGTTTGGTGGCTTTTCCCTTCTTGTAGAACTCGTTTGCCCAAAGATGCCCAGGGCCCAGCATGCTTTGTACCATGGCACCTCCCCGCCAGGCAGAGTAGGGCAAAAGTGAGACGTGGCCTGGTGTGGAACTGTGCAACCCGAGCTGTCATGCGTGCTCCCGAAGCATTTCACATCCGAGCCATGAGCCTGGTTGCAGCCTAATCATGAATTACCAACTCTGATTGATAGAGTTGAAAGTATGCAATTAAATCATATTAAATCACAATTAGCAAACATTAAACATCATTAAATAGGATCTTGCACCTGCGATAGTAGAGAAGCACAGTTTCATTTGGATCATGAGCCTTGGAGAAGACTGGCGAGTCCTGATGTCGGAGCGTTCTGACAGATTTGGGCATGCCTGTGAGTGCATTCCTCGTGAGCTTGGCGATTGATCTCACAGCAGGAGATTTAGCCGCTGGGTATGCAGGGCAGCACTGGTGCATGAGGTCAGGTGTGAGGACTTGGCAGGTTAATGTGACACAATATGGGGAACAATCGAGGCCCGAACCCAAGCAACACCATATCCACCGGATGGGCCATGGATTTTCTATGGTACTATGGTAGTCAATCATGGCTTTCATGCGCCTCCAAGCTTGAAACTATTCGGGCCTTTGCTCTGCAGATTGGACAGGAGCTGAACATGCGCCAACTGACCATGTAGAGCCTTGATTGCAAACAAATACGCGAGTTCAGGTGGGAGACGTGTGATGTATGTATTGTCAGCACAGTGTTGGACGGCAAGCCAGTGTGGTTTCACCATCAATCACATGTGTCATATCACGAAAGGTAGCTTGAGCTACCTGAGTTCTCCTTGCTTTAGCAAAAATGTATTACAATCAGGAGTTGGGATTGTGCATTGAATTTGGTCCTGTAAGACGAGTTGATTCTGTTCGTCGGGGGGGGGGCCCCCCGTGGCTGGGAAGAATGCGCCCTATGAGGCGCACAGCTGTGCTAAAGATTGTCAAACGTCCAAAGCATTTCTCCATCCCGCACTAGCACGCTCAACTCAAGCCGAACGCGCTGTACATCTGACAGCTGCATCGATCAGCACGAGCGCCCAGATGTGACCAGGAATCCATCCCGCCTATCGATCACTTATATAAAGGGGATGGATTCCCAGGGTGACCTCACTTACAAAAAGCACAGATAAAAAAACGACAAGGAAAAACACACAAACACAAAGAAAAAAACGGGACACAAACATTTATTCTTTTTATATGAGGAAATCGCCCATTTATACTTTCTTTCTCTTTTGGCGATTTCCAATATAGTTAATGACCTAGCACTTGACCCCGGATACAATTTAGAATCAATTTAGAATGAAAATATCAAGTCCACTTAATTTAGGTGGTAATAATAAATAATGCATTAAAAACTATTGAAATTACTTAAGGATTTTAATGCCATGAATAGTAAATATGCTATAACATTTATAGATTAATAAGCGATTTTTAATAAGTGATCATAAATTTTATAGCCCTTACAATCACATCTGTCCCTTATCATTCACCTCCAGATCTAGGATGTGATTGCAAGGTTCATTCACCAATATTTCCCCTTTCATATCTTAACCCATAGAAAATATTGGATCATTCACTTCTTTTCTTTCTTTTTCATGAATTTTCAATAAGAGATTTTCTAGAAAAATTCATGATTCTTTATTAATTCCCTGCCAATTTTATGAAAAAATGTGATCGCTGTCAAAAAGCGATTATAAACATGCTAGTCTCTATATATATGGAGGATGACCATTAATTTATTGACATTTTCCTTTTTGTTTGGTATAAAGAATGCTTGTGGAGGAAATTAATGGTCATCGTATTTTATTATTATCAGTGAATTTCCATAAGTCATTTAATGGAAAATTCTCCCATCAATTATAAAGATAGAATATCCCTTTCAAATTGGAGCCTTGACGACCAAAGAAAACGTACGAAAGATAAAACAAAATACCAAGTAATATAAATGGACTAGCCGTTAACCTCACACATGAATATAAAATAAAATGTGTGATCATGATTATAGATAAGAAATAAAAGTTATGATCATTAATTTTCATTGTGAAAAGACAAAGATATGATGAAGAAAATTGATGTGAATGAACCAATATTAGACAATAAACACCATGATGACTGATAAAAAAGAGACAAAAGATAATATCAGTCATAAGGTGTTACACGGTTGTAGCTGGAGAACCTGATGTTGGAAAGTTACGAATAAAATTGTAAGAACCCCAGCTACAACCCCCAGATAAAGACCATTCATTCCCAACACTAAAACTAAAGAAAATGTTATTATAAATTTTAATGTTGGATCATTCATTATTACCTATTCCATTATCTATAACCATGACTTGGCAATCTATTTTATATTTTTGCCAAGGGTCATCCGCTAGGCTATAATTTTAATATCTTTCACCATCATATTCTTCTTAATTTTGGGCTTTATCTGTCATCATCTTTTATAATGAAAGAAACCATCCTTTTTGCTGCCATGCCAGAGCTTATAAAGCACCAAAAACAATAAGATATATAAAATAAATAGACGGGGAGCAACCTATAAATTTAAAGAGCGTATATTGTTTTTAAGAGATGAAAGATAGAGAAATAGCCAAGAAATTAAAATAGAATAACAATGAACCATTAAATCTGCGAATGGAAGTGCAGCGACATGTACAGTGCAACTTGTACATATATATGTACCATATGTACTTTGGCTCAAGGATCAAGCGACTAGAAAAGGTGCGGTTTCCGTTCCGACGCTACGCCGCTTATGGACCGTCAGTGATAGCTTCAAACTTCGCTGATTAAGATCCACTCGCAGGTTATCAGCCGTACGCGCTCTTTATAGCCGTACGAGCTACACGAGACCAAGAACAAGACTAGTCATTACAGAAACCTGCAATGTCAAGCTCAGGAGGAAATGGAAGCGAACCCTATTCATTCGCTGCTCCTGGTGGTCCCAACACCATTTCGTCACCAGACTCTACAATGGGTACTGATTCATCAGCAAATGCTGACGTTATCACTATGCCTACTGGATCACAAATCTCGGAAAGATCCGTGCCACCGGCTCGGAATCTGACCGATCTTGCACCCGTAGGACCAAGAAGATCGATGAGAGCTACAACAAGATCTACATCGCCTATAACGTCTACCGCGAGATCCCCAAGAAGGAGTATAGAGAAGAGACGTGACGATGATAGAGGAACAAAAGAGCAAAGAAGAGAGATTCAGCTGGGTGAAGAATTGAGATCGGCGAGAAACGCATACAATTTTCTTCATGAAGAATATGAATGCATCCAAGCCGGATACTCACGACTACACCACGAGGCTGAAGTGGAGTTCAGGCAAATGTCTGACTACAACAGGAAGATGCAGGAACATCTACAAGAGATGACACAGGAAGATGAAGGAGCGACAATAAGAATTGAAGAGCTCGAACACAAGCTACGCTTGGCGGAATCGACAGCTGAACATATCTACATGAGATATCAAGAGCTTGCACAAGAAACTCATCAAGAACATTCAGAGCTTGAATCTGTGAAAGCAACGAAGGACAGAATGTCCCAAGAGCTTCAAGCAGCAATTGGACACATCCAAGAACAGAATGAATCTTCATTGGCGATCAATAGAAGATCAAAAGCCATTCAGGATGAGAACACAGCCTTCGTCGGAATAGCTGACCAGATACAAGCTAGAATGATTGCGCTACAGGATGAGAATGTCAACGTGCACGAGGTGATCCAACACCAGAGAGAAGAACAATGGAACAGTGAGGTCAGAGAAAGACGTCTTCAACACAGTGTTCACTCATCTCAAGATCAGAGCAATCAGGAAGCTATGGTTATTGATCATCTACGAGGTCAACTAGCTATGGCACGTGGAGCTGAACTCAACGCGAGAGCGGAGATAGGAGAGATGGAAGTGGGCATGAGGATGGAGATGTTTGTATGCCAGACTGAAGTCTCTGCTAAAGAAATGGCAGAAATGAAGGCGAGCCACCATGAATACGAAGCAAATGTTGCAAAGGAGGTTATCGCAAAAGGAGAAATATTCAACAACGAAGTCCTAGAAAGTTCCATCCGTGAACGACAACAGTTGAAAGACGCCAACCTCGCTCTATCCGAAGCCAACGCACAGCTGAAAAGAGAGAATATGATGAGAGCTCCTATGTTCGGCGATGATGGTGCTGAAATTCAACAGAAGATCAGAGAACTGGAGAATGCACTATTGGAAAGCCAGAAGGATACAAAGAATGTCATTATGGAAAATGCGAAATTAAAAGCAGAAGCACGAATGGCACCCATAGTCTCTCGGTACAGCAAGCGTCCTAGTTCCAGAGACCGCGGGTTACCAACCCACGCGTCCGAGGAAGATGAGATTCGGAACGCAAAAGAGGAGGCGAAGCGCTACAAGGACGGGTACAATGAAATGACAGAGAGCCGAGATGAGATGTATGAATGGTATGCCGAAACCCACAATGAGTACGCCGAGGAAAGAGAGAAATCAATTGAGCTATCCGAGGCGAACAAATCATTGAGGGACAAGATTTCAGAAGCAGAAGCATCCTCTTCATCTCATCTTGCACCGGCAACCTCTACAATCATGAAAGTATCGAGGAAGGAAGAATCAAAGATAAACGTTCCGTCATGGCCCAGGATCAATGATCTTGGACTATGGAAGGCAAATCTCATTCAATCGATCATCATTGCGGCCAATGATTCAGATCAAGAGCCCTAGATCGACTGGATCAAAGAAGCCATGGACGATCCTGATCCGGACAAGTTTGTCGACTCAGGAGACCAAAGATTCCATTCAATCGATGCCAAACTCGGCCTAGCTCTTACCAAGGTCGTCATGGATGCGAAAGATGATGGTTCAGGTGTAGCTATGAAGTTGAGGACGAGGATCAATGCAAAAGGGAGAACATCAAGCCTCATAAAGGGAAGAGAGGTCCTAGCCCTGATCCTTATGAATTTCAAGACAACATCAAATGTGGAAGTCTTATATACTTCAATGCACCTCTACCAACTAGAATATCAAGGAGACAAGAACTTATCGTTGTTCTTCCACACTTGGGATGAGATTCTGGCAGGAATGAAGCCCGTTGACGTCCCGAGCGACGAAACTCTTCGGGATCTCCTATGGAGAAAGATCAGGAACTCAAACCTCATGGCATACGACATCAGCGCCTACAACAGCATGAACGACGATGATGCCAAGAAGACATACAAACATCTACGTGATATGATCAGAAGGCACATCGAACGGCAAACTGAAGACAGGATGATCCTGGAAAAGGAGAAGGCAGTGAAGAATGTGGCCAATATCTTTCAGAATCTCAAACCAGGCGGACCTGCTCCAAAACTGAAAGCTGCACCAGCTGATCCGAAGAAGAAACCAAAAGGGCAACAAGAACAGGTTGTCTCAGAAGACGCTGCTGCAGTGAAGCCGAAACCCAATCCCAAGAAGCATCCTGAAGACAAGAACAAAAAGGGAAAGGGGAAAGGTAAAGGTGATGGAAAGGATCGCAGCCGAAGTCCGAGTACAGACAAGAAGAAGATACCATGCAAATACTTCGTGAAAGGTAACTGCACTATGGGGAAAGATTGCCCATTCAGTCACAAGAAACCCAGATCACCATCCAGAGGATCTTCT